AGACGAAACGTTTCTACATTTTTTGTTGTTTTGCTTTGTTTTGTTTTTTTGAATGTCCAGAGGACCAGATTTAACTTTTTTGGATTTTTCTACCTGGATTATTGAGCATGCATCAGGAAATGTTTTGAATCTTAATTTAAACATTTCTCATTTATTATCAGCTAAATTAATTACTTCTACACATCTTTTATAGTGAGAGGGGGAACTGCATTTTAAAGAAGTGTTAAACCAGTAATGATTTTCATAAGTAGGTAAAACATTCATGTAAGGAAAGTACTACGTACTAGTTCAAGCTTCATGATGCGTACACAGTCCCTCAGAACATTGGTGGGAGCCCCCAGCAGCTTTGTGAAGGCACTCAGAGTGTTGAATTTAAACGGAGGACCAGCAACCTAAAAATATCACATAAGACAAATTATTGATAAAAACAGGAAGAATTAAACACACACAAACAAGAAACCCTAAAAAACAACAAAACAATTTTTTTCTTCTTTTCTTCTTATTTGTTGAGTTATACGAATGTCCAAAATGATTAAGTTCACTTACTCTGGTCTCAAAGAACCTCTCCAGCACCTGAAGCTCCTCCTGGGACCATGGGCCTGCATTTTCTGGGGTGACTTTTAGCTGCAACGTCTGATAGTTCTTAGGATTCAGAGCCACCCGACACTTGAGTATGTCCGTTTTAAACATGATCACCCCCGGCTCATTCGAGTTTACAATGGATAACTGAAGCAGGAGGGATACAGAAAATTAATGCAGAGTAGTTAATTTAAGCAATAACGTGAAACGGACTGAATTAATCTGCGTGACACTTACATTGGTCTCCTGCTGGATGATCCTTTGCAGGTGTCGTCTCATGATAACTGAACCCAGAAAGCGCTCTAGTGGCGAGCAGAGGTAGCTTCCTGCCAGGCCTGACACTAGACACGGAGTGGGTGAGGGGAGCAGAAGCACGTGTAAGGCACTGTGGGTGAGGATGGTGGGGATGGAGGCAGCCCAGGGGCGCTGAGGTAGCTTTCGGGGAGGAGGCATACTGGTGGGCATGACTTGTGAACCTAAAGAAAAAAAAAAGCACACATACAGTAAATATGAAAAGAGGACTCCTGAAAATAATGAAACTAGTTTAGAGAATGGATAAAAATAAAAAAAAAATTAAAACTTTGGGAAAAGTTGTTCATGGTAAGGAATAAAAATGTTCACTTTAAATGTCAAACTGGGTAACAGTGATGGTCAACACTTTCAGTAATGGTGTCATAAAGTAATTATTAGAGAAGCATGACTTACTGGTCCCAGCTCTTGGAGAATGAGGATCAGGAATAGGGGAGTGCAGCGAAGGATTACCAGGGGACATGCCGGGGATTCTTGCTCCAGGAGAAGGTCCTGAAACTTGTGGTGAGCCTGGCCACTGGCCCCTGTGACTGGGAGACACCATGGTATATGGAGAGCTGGGGTCCAGAGGACCTAAATGGAAGGAGGGCCACTCATCAGCCTCTTAGCAACATGTAACACTCATAAACACACCAATGATTTACAAGTTCTTTTTAAACACTTGCTAACCCCTGTAGCCTAATCAAGTTCAGTTCAGCCTGTCAGGCCTTTGCCCAGCAGACAGGATTTACCACCAGACCAGCATTATTGACCCACGCACCCCCTTCCTGCTGCTTACTGTGGGGACTGGCAAAACTGGTCTGGCCCATGGCTACGCCCAGAGAAGATGGAGACTGGGTGTGGCCGAAAGGACAGGGCACCCTCTAAGCTCCACTAGGGGAGCCAGAGGCATGGATGTACCCTGAGCAGACTCTAGGTCAGGGCTCTGAAACATTTATGATCAAAAGAGACATTTTAACACCTTCTGTAACTAAATTAAACATGTCCAGAGCCACAACAACCTGCTACAACTGTGATAATCAACTGGTGGCCCATGGGCCACTTTACGTTCGTTGGAGGATACTATGGTGTCCAGTAGGGGTGACATTATAAAGCTAAAAATATCTAATGATTCTTAACATTTATTTATATTTTTTACAATTTAAGACAAATGAAAAGACCAGAGTCTTGTAAAGAGGGGGGAGATTTTTTTAAATAAAAAAAATAAATAAAAAAAAGCCTGAACTATGCAGACCTACGTGATTTTTTTAATTGTGGAAAAAATAATTACGCATAGAAATTAAGCAAAAAGTTAAAGTGAGCGTTTGCAAAAGAAATGACAGGGAAACAGCTAAAACTAGTACTTTTTTATTGTTTGTATAACAACCACTAAATTCAGTTTTATGTCAGTTTTGGTCAAAGCTTGAAAGGGCTGCTGCAGAGGGACCAAAGAGACGCATTTGGCTCCAGAGCAGCAGGTTGCAGACCCCTGTGCTAGGTATACCAAGAGCTCCAAGCACACACACTAGGGATTTAACAGACTACTCAAGCAATCTACACATCGATTCCTAGGACATCTATTGAGTTTTTACATCACATCGAGTATTCATGGTGACGTCATTACGTCGCTGTTACGTCATTGCATCACGTGATCCGCACCGGGTGCGGGTTACAAAATGGATTCCTCCAAGCAGACGGATGGAGCGGAGCAGGCCCAGTCTTGGCAAACAGGTAGAAATGCATCAATAGTATGGAAATATTTCTCTAAAGATTAATCTTCCGGTTCAATTACCGTAAGGAAACAGAAAATGAATCAACTTCCTGTTTGGAGCTGCGAACCGGCGTTACACCATATTCTGTGACCACCGTATATTGTGACCGTAGGGGGCAGTGTTGTATGCACTGTTGCAGGTCACAGAATATGGTGTAACACCGGGTTCAATCGACCGAACCAGAACCAGCTTCCTTCTGACCTTGTTTCACAAACAAAAAGCAAAAAACATTAATCTCTAAACCTATAAAAAACCTATAAACATATTAATCTCTAAAACTAAACCTAATGCGCACCACAACTGGCGATGGTGTGAGGTGGACGTCTGCCCCACTGTTTTTAGTTTAGTTTTTGACGTGCCACACGTTTCTTTTACTTTTGCAGCTTAATAATAAAAACTAATAGTTTAGTTTTTCCTGTGACTTATTTGCAGTATGATAAATGGTAGGAGCATAATATATGCTCCCAATGTTTTGTTGGTCTTTTTTTGTAAACAATGACCTTTTTTACGGTTTTATTTATTTATTTATGTTTGTATCTTTAGATCCTATGATGTCATCAAGTACTCGAGTTCTACTTGAGTTTTATTATGTTAATGTCGAGTTTAAAAACTATGTAGTTGTTCAACCCCTAACACACAGACATAAAAACAAGCTGAAGCTGGACAGAAGGGCTGCAGCATCTGGCTGGCTGGTGGAGATGAAGAAAAATGGAAGGAGCATGGCTGTATGCATGCTTTGTTCTCTCTCCTCTGTGAGGTATGCATGAGTTGTATGAGAAACAAAAATGGTCTCATGGTTTTGTGAAAAACTGGCACCCATGGCTGCACAAGTTTGATCTCTGACAATACAGTTTGCTCCAGGAACAAATACATGAGGTGCATACTCTATGATAACTATGTAAGATTGTTGTAGGTTTGTTGTTTTGGATGAACACAAAGCAGAGACGTTAATCCTCTTCTATTTAAATCAACATCAAATCTCATACGTCTTTACCTGGTGACTGGGTGTGCAGCATAGAAGGTGATGGGGTTACATTAGTGTGATAATTTGGTGGGGGTGAAGTGAGGGGAGGATAAACACCCCCTGGACCACCTCTCATGGTCTGCGGCTGCTGTGTAGCTTGCAACTGGTTCATCAGACTGTCCATCACATCTACACCCACTGGAGAGGGAGGGTTGTCATCTTCATTGACTGAACGCCGGCGAGCATCTTGATTGCCGTCTACAAACATATTCAGGAATGTCTGGGGGGGGGGGGGGGGGGGGAATAAGAGAAGTTGAACAGAAACTTTAGAGGGAGAAACAACAGTTTGAGGTAAAGTTGGCTGTAAAGAAATACAAAGACATCTGAGACAACGTGCCGTACTTCTGAACCCAGTTTACCTTGAGTCCTGGAGCCGGATAAAATCCTTCTACAATCTTAGTGTTGTCGAACAGACTGTAGGCTCCATCTCTAATGGCAACTACTCCACGGTTGCGGCAATAAATGTCAATGCAGTACATGTTCCGGAAGGCCAGTCGGATGTGAGTGGGTGACTGTGGTAGGATGGAGAAACACTGGTAGGCTGTGTTGGTGCGCTGGGTGAGGCCTAGCATGGGCACTGTTGGTAGCTTGTTGATTGCATTAAGAGGAGCTTGTGTGTCATACAGCACCTGCACAAAATAAAATGACACAATATACTTCACTGTCCCCTTGAGAAAAGTAGACTTGGTGCTCACTAATTAACCAACTAACTAACTAACCATTAAAGCAATCACACAGTACACATTTTATCCATAAGACACTATTACAGCACGATTGGTAGTGGATTCTTGCTGAACCCTTAAAAAGCATTACCATATTTTCCGGCATACTTGTTGTTCCGCCCTATAAGTCGCACCAGTCCATATTTGTCTAATAGAGTGGAAAATCCATAAATATGTCACTTCGCTGTAAATGTCGCATCTATTATGCATCACCGCTGACGTGTCACGTTTGTTACGTGTCACCGGTGAAAACCCGGAAATGTGGGCCGGTGTTGTGCCAAAAATTGATGAGCTGCCAAATGGCAGCCGCGGGAGCGTGCACGGGAGGACTTTAACAAGAATTTAACAAGATTAACGAAAACAATTATTTGTTTGCTCGAAATTATATTAAATGTGTGTATCAATTGAACGTTTGCTTAATAAATGCACTTTGATGGTCAAATCAGCTGAATTTCGCTGGGGCGGTGCAGCTGGTTTGACAGTTCCAAGCAACGAGCAGAACAAAGGTGAGGGTAACATGGCAAGCCGATTGTGTCATTAATAGCTGGTGAAGATTCTCAGTCGTCCAGGACATGGTAAATTCAAAAAAGTTCAAGAAAAAAAAAAAGTGTAATAAATAAAAGTCCACTTGTTTTTGTCTTGAATTTTTTTGAATTTGTCATTGTAGACATGTTTACATATTACATGATACAACGGCATGCCTTACTGCTACTACTACTCTGTTGTCATCAAGTGGCTGAAAGTGGTAATGCTCAATTTTTTTTCAGTCAGAATGAATGAAAACTGTCCAATCTCAGCCAAAAAATGGTTTCTAAATATGGGAAAAATCCATAAATATATAGCTTCGGCCTATAAGTTGCAGGGCATGTAAACTATGCAAATAACCACAATTTATACAGCGAAAAATATGGTACTCGACCTAGATTTATCATGTACGAACCACGAAGCCAACATTCAACTTGTCTGCTGGCCTCCTTAGATGGAGAACTTTACTAATTGGCTTTTAAATGCCCCCCGGGCGCTTTCAATAGCTGCCCACTGCACCACCTGGTGGTGGATGGGTTAAATGCAGAGACTAATTTCGCCATTGTATGGAAACATACAGTGCTGACATTGTGATGACATTATTATTATTATTATGTATGTGAATGTTCCTGTAAAGTGCCCTGAGACAACTTTGTTGTGATTTGGCGCTATAAAAATAAATTGAATTGAATTGAATGTGCATTTCTCAGGGTGTCTAACTGACATAGTGTACCTGCAGCAGCTGCAACACATTGGGATTCTTGTTGAACATCTCTTGTAGCTGGTGGAGGATGATGTTATGGCAGTTTGAACAGCCTGAATTGGGCCCCACAGTTCCAAGGGCTAAATGAAAACGCTGGCTGCTGGAGTTCCACTGGATGGTGACAGAACCGCCTTTGGTGGTGCCGTAGCACAGCACCAGCTTACGGTAATTATACAGACGCACTTCAGCGAACGCACTCAGATTAGACGGTATATCTGAAGGGAATAGATCAACATTTGATTATTACAAGATAGTAAAAACACTTATTTGCACAAATTTAATTTAAACGGTTCCTTTAGTAAAATTGGGCAATTGGTGTACACTGCATACCTAAAGGGAATGTGACTTACAGTTTTCATTTTAATTTGAAGTTATACAGCATTTTGTAAACAAAGATAAAACAAGATAACTTTTTTTTTTTTTTAAGTTCCTGAAACAAAAAGTAATCTAGTGAATTCTTGTTATTTTTAGGTGAGAAGCATTTACCTGGGAGTGCACGTGAGAAGTTGAGAACACACTGGTAGAGATGACTAATGGCTTTCCAGTCATTCAGGAACATCTCGACAACCTTCCTCCCACCAACAGGCTCCGACAAAGGGTTTTCATATGTCAGATATACGTGCCTTGTGGAGGCTAAAAGAGCAGATGAACTCATTTAGAAGCTGCTTCATCACACAGACAAAGGCATATTGTATGTTTAATGGTATACTGGACTGAAAAACTAAGCCAACTCATAACATGTGGCACACATTTACAGATTTACTCACATACATTTCAGACTGCAGATGTTTTTATATACCTAACAAATACCTAATATACAGTGTCTTGCAAAATTATTTGGCCCCCTTGAATTTTTCAACCTTTTGCCACATTTCAGGCTTCAAACATAAAGATATAAAATTTTAATTTTTTTTGAAGGCTGCCACCTTACCGTGGTGGAGGGGTTTGAGTGTCCCAATGATCCTAGGAGCTATGCTGTCAAGGGCTTTACGCCCCTAGTAGGGTCACCCAAGGCAGACAGGTCCTAGGTGAGGGACCAGACAAAGTGCAACCCAAAGACACCTATGATGAGTAAAATAAATGGACTTGGGTGATCCCTCACCCGGATGTGGGTCACCGGGGCCCCACTCTGGAGCCAGGCCTGGAGATGGGGAACGTGGGCGAGCGCCTGTTGGCCGGGCTTTTACCCATGGAGCTCGGCCGGGCACAGCCTGAAGAGGAGACGTGGGTCCCCCTTCCCATGGGCTCACCAACTGTGGGAGGGGCCAAAGGGGTCGGGTGCAATGTGGGATGGGTGGTGGCCGAGGTCGGGGACACTGGCGGTCTGATTCTTGGCTACAGAAGCTGGCTATTGGGACGTGGAATGTCACCTCACTGGTGGGGAAGGAGCCTGAGCTGGTGTGTGAGGTTGAGAGGTTCTGGCTAGAAATAGTCGGACTCACCTCTACGCATGGCTCTGGCTCTGGAACCAGTTTCCTTGAGAGGGGCTGGACACTCTTCCACTCTGGAGTTGCCCCTGGTGAGAGGCGCCGAGCAGGAGTGGGCATACTTATTGCCCCCATCTTGGTGCCTGTGTGTTGGGGTTCACCCCGGTGAATGAGAGGGTGGCCTCCCTCTGCATACGTGTGGGGGACGGGTTCTGACTGTCGTTTGTGCTTATGCACCAAACGGCAGTTCAGATTATCCACCCTTTTTGGAGTCCTTGGAGGGGGTACTGGAAAGTGCACCTCCTGGGGACTCCCTTGTTCTGCTGGGGGACTTCAATGCTCACGTGGGCAATGACAGTGAGACCTAGAGGGGTGTGGTTGGGAGGAATGGCCCCCCTGATCTGAACCCGTGTGATGTTCTGTTGTTGGACTTCTGTGCTCGTCATGGATTGTCAATAACGAACACCATGTTCAAGCATAAGGGTGTCCATATGTGCTCTTGGCACGAAGACACCCTAGGCCGCAGTTCGATGATCGACAATGTCATCGTCTCATCTGATCTGCGGTCACATGTCTTGGACACTCGGGTGAAGAGAGGGGCGGAGCTGTCCACTGATCACTACCAGGTGGTGAGTTGGCTCCGATGGTGGGGGAGGATGCCGGTCAGACCTGGCAAACGTGTTGTGAGGGTTTGCTGGGAACGTCTGGCAGAGTCTCTTGTGAGTTCGAGTGGGCCATGTTCCATGCCTCTATTGTCGAGGCGGCTTACCGGAGCTGCAGCCGCAAGGTTGTCGGTGCCTGTCGTGGTGGCAACCCTCGAACCCGGTGGTGGACATCGTCGTGAGGGTTGCTGTCAGGCTGAAGAAGGAGTCCTATCGGGCCTTTTTGGCCTGTGGGACCCCAGAAGCAGCTGATGGGTACCGGCAGTCTAAGCGACATGCAGCTCAGGTGGTCGCTGAGGCAAAAACTTGGGCATGGGAGGAGTTTGGAGAGGCCATGGAGAATGACTTCCATACAGCTTTGAGGTGATTCTGGTCCACCATCCAGCGTCTCGGGGGGGGAGGTACGCCACCAACCCTGTTTATAGTGGGAGTGGTGCGCAGATGACTTCAACTCAGGATGTTGTAGGTCGGTGGGCGGAATACTTTGAAGACCTCCTCAATCTCACCGGCACGTCTTCCACTGAGGAAGAGGAGCCTGGGGACTCTGGGTCGGGCCCTCCAATCTCTGGTGCTGAGGTCACTGAGGTGGTTAAAAAGCTCCTCGGTGGCAGGGCCCCAAGGGTGGATGAGATTCGCACCGAGTTCCTTAAGGCTCTGGATGTTGTAGGGTTGTGTTGGCTTACGCGACTCTGCAATATTGCGTGGACATCGGGGGAAGTTCCCCTGAATTGGCAGACTGGGGTGGTGGTCCCCCTATTCAAAAAAGGAGAACGTAGAGTGTGTTCCAACTACAGTGGGGATCACGCTCTTAAGCCTCCCTGGTAAGGTCTATTCGGGGGTTCTGGAGAGGAGGGTCTATCGGATAGTCGAACCTTGGATTCAGAAGGAGCAGTGCAGTTTTCGTCCTGGTTGTGGAACACTGGACCAGCTCTACACTCTCAGCAGGGTCCTGGAGGGTGCGTGGGAGTTTGCCCAACCGGTCTACATGTGCTTTGTGGACTTGGAGAAGGCATTCGACCGCGTCCCTTGGGGAACCCTGTGGGGGGTACTCTGGGAGTATGGGCTCCCAGTACAGGCTGTTAGATCCCTGTATGACCAGTGTCAGAGCCTGGTCTGCATTGCCAGCAGTTAGTCGGGCTTGTTCCCGGTGAGAGTTGGACTCCGCCAAGGTTGCCCTTTGTCACCGATTCTGTTCATAACTTTGATGGACAGAATTTCTAGGCGCAGCCAAGGTGTTGAAGGGATCTGTTTTGGTGGCCTTAGGATTGTGTCTCTGCTTTTTGCAGATGATATGGTCCTATTTGCTTCATCAGATCGTGATCTACAGCTTTCGCTGGAACGGTTCGCAGCTGAGTGTGATGCGGCCGGGATGAGGATCAGTTCCTCCAAATCCGAGGCCATGGTCTTGAGCCGGAAAAGGATAGAGTGCCCTCTCTGGGTCAGGGAGGAGGTCCTGGCCCAAGTGGAGGAGTTCAAGTATCTCGGGGTCTTGTTCACGAATGAGGGATAAATGGAGCGTGAGATTGATAGGCGGATAGGTGCAGCGACTGCAGTGAAGCGGGTGCTGTACTGGTCTGTCGTGGTGAAGACAGAGCTGAGTCAAAAGGCAAAGCTCTCAATTTACCGATCAATCTACGTTCCCACCCTCATCTATGTTCATGAGCTTTGGGTTGTGACCGAAAGAACGAGATCTCAGATACAAGCGGCCAAAATGAGTTTTCTTCGCAAGGTGTCTGGGCTCTCCCTTAGAGATAGGGTGAGAAGCTCGATCATCAGAGAAAGACTCAGAGTAGAGCAGCTGCTTCTCCACGTCGAGAGGAGCCAGTTGAGGTGGCTTGGGCATCTGGTTAGGATGCCTCCTGGACGCCTCCCTTACGAGGTGTTCTGGACACATCCCACCGGGAGGAGGCCCAGAGGAAGACCCAGGACACGCTGGAGAGACTATTGCCCCTTTTCCTATAGTACCTGTAGTACCGGTACAGCACGGCTCTACTCTACTCGGTACGGTACAGGTTGTGTTTCCATTATGCTTTCAGTACCGGTTCCAGTGGGCGGGGTTCAAATTGACGTCACCACCACTCACCAGCTGGTGGCGCTGAGACGCTGAAACTGTTTTCAGTACAGGTTGAGAATTTGTTATTTGAAGTTGTGTGTATGTATGTATGCATGTATGTGTGTATGTATATGTGTGTATATATATATATATATATATATATATATATATTTATATGTATATACACGCATATACACACACATATGTGTGTGTATATATATATATATATATACACACACACACACATATATATAAAATATATATACACACATATGAATGTATATACAGATATATGTATTTATTTATATACATATATATTAATGTATTATTATATATTTATAGATATAAATATATATATATATGTATTTATATATATATATATGTATTTATATATATATATATATATTTATAGATATAAATATATATATATGTATATAAATTAAATCTCTGATGAACCAGATTCTACAAAAACATCTAGATTTAAATTTTTATAGGTTTTCATCATCATTTGATGTATTTGCACTCATTGTGTCTACTTGTAATATTCATTTTAGATGTGTGGTTTTCTGTCTTGTTCACATATATACATTTTATTTTTAGCTTTGCTTTAAAGTTCTTGTTTTGTGATTTGTACATTTGTGGGTTAAAATAAAGTTGAAGTGAAGGTCGTCTTTTTTTTTTAAACATGTTTCTTTAAACATGTTTGAGGGAAATATTCCTGAGATCCAATAGTTTTGTGTCTTTCTATGATTTTCAGCTGAGTTAACAGTCATTAAAGTGAAAACAGGATTTCATGATGAAGCTGGCACCGTTTATTTTATTTATTTTTTAATCTTCAACGCTCTGCTGGTCTCACATGATCCTCTCCCCCGGAGACACGACGGGCAGGCTCATCTTCCCAGCTCCGAGCTCAGCTGGTGACTCACAGAGGTCGTTGCGAGACCCCAGCCACGCGTAATCATGAAGGCCCGACACGCGAGGATAGAGACGGGTCTGCGACGAACGGTGGAAGCGATTTTAAAAAACATTTTACGTGTAAAAAAATAATAGTGATTTTTAAATCGCTTCAGCAATTTTTTAAAATATTTTTTGTATAAAAACAAAATATATATTTTTAAATCGCTTCCACCGTCCGTCCCAGACTGTCCAGTCCGCCTGGCTGCCGGGCGGGATCGGGATTCAGCCTTCACGATTACGCGCGGCCGGGGTCTGGCAACGACCGTCTGCGAGTCCCCATCTCCAGCTTCGCAATGACCAGCAGAGCTCTGAGCACACAAGGCTGGTATCCGGAACCCGAGCCTCCGAGTCGGCACATCGAAGGATCTTCCGCGGTGACCAGCGGAACTCGGAGCTGGGGAGATGACGCTCTGCCCTGCCTGGCGCTCCGAGGCTCCGGGGGGAGGACCGGGGTACACCAGCAGAGCTCCATCCAGCTTGCTCTGAAATATGTTGTCGGCCACCAAGCACAAAAAACGCCAGAACGTCAGCATT